TTTTTTTTTTTTTTTTTTTTTTGAATGAACGCAGTGCTACATGCTCGTATGGCCCTCCAATAACTGGGGTGGGGGAAATAGCACTTTTCAGTAAAGTCCTTTGTGATGCTTTGATTTTTTGGATTTCCAGAGACCTTTCCCCACCCCCGCTCAATGTATTTTTTTTCCCTTTTGGCCCGGTTTCTTATCACTTGCGGTAATGCTTATTTGGCATCCATGCAGACTAGCTGCAAGTGTATTTCATCTAATAAACTGAAAATCAGTGCTTAATCAAGATAAAAAAAGACATTTGAAGGTAAACAAAACCTGAGCAACTCTGCTGCAAGGAGAACTGCTATACAAAAGACATTATAAATGAAAGGACATCGAACAGTAATTGGAAGCCACGTAAGAAATAAAGAAACATGGTAAGTACAAAATATATGAAATATTTCTCAAATTTCAATTTAAAAAAATCACTTAAAGCTATGTTTACATGCGTGTAATAAATAATGATGTAATTTATAACAATAGCACAAAGGAAGAGGGAGTGATTATATAAGAACAAACTTTTTTATTTTTACTTTTTGGTACCGGGGATCGAACTCAGATCTCTGTGCTTGCAAGGCAGGAGTGGAACCACTGAGCTAAATCCCTGGCAAGAACAAACTTTTACAGAGTAAATATTAAGTTAGACATCGTTTGGAACCAGTTTATTATAAATTCAAATGTTAATTGTAACCCTTAGGGTAGTCATTGACTAACTTCAAAATGATGAAAGAAATGGCAAAGGAGATTAAAGTAATATACAAGAGAATATCTAGCTACATGAAATAAGTTAGGGATAGAGGACCATGTTAAATTCAGCAGTTGAAATTTTTAAAATAAATGTATTTCATATTATACCTATATATTTGTGGAATATTTGGGGTTTTAATCGTGCATTCTAGATTGTGAACTTTGTTCAGTCAGTCTTCACACCATCCTCTGGGAAAAAGAGAGGTGGAAGGCTAAGAACAGAGCCAAATGAGCAGAAACAGTTTTGTAAATATCCCTTGCTCATATAGTTTGACATAAAATTGAGTCAGCAGGAGATGATGCCTGAGTTGGAGGAAAAGAGAGAATACTATCAAGATCTTCTTAATATCTTTGTGTATAATAGCACAGCTGTCACTGGGTGAACGACCAGCACACATCCTAGAGTCCTCAAGAGTGTAATACCTCTCTTCTGCCCAGTGTCAAAGTGAAGTCTTCATATTACTATTCCTGTCACCCTTGCAGAATGTAGACCAAGGTCGTACTGCCATTGCAGCATAGACAGATGAGAACTGAGCAAGCATAAAGGGAGAATTCCTGGGTTTATACGTACAACTCAAGCCTTAAATGCACTGGGTAGTTTGTGGCCTAGGGTGATGAACTAACTTGTCTTCTGTCTAGCATAAATGAAACTCTTCTAAAATCAGCATTAATATACCTTGTGACAACCTGATTTTGTGCAGTCTCACACAAACACACAAATACAAAATAAGTCAGCGGAAATGATTCATTTCCCAAGTCACCCTCCTGGAACTTGAGGTTGTTAGAGATCCTAGGCAACTGCACATGTGGGGTTGGGATTTAGCGAGTTGGGGATACTATTCAAGGGTTGAAATATGATTGACTGAGGCTCTCATACTTGTGGCTCTGGCATTGGATCGTGTGGCTTAAATATCAGCATCAACTCCATCTCAGTTTAGGTATTGGAAAATGATAGGGAGGTTATTTGAAAAAGCAGGAACCCCTGATGTGCAATGCCTAAGACAGAATTCCTGTTTAGGTCCTAGGGCACTATTTTTTGAGCTCTTAGTATTCCAGATAAAGTCCTAGTGTCACTGCTTTATTATTTTCTATTGCCGTAGAAAGCACTGAAAAAGGTAAAGATTTTTAAGGCAAGGTTTATGGTATATGGGATTCATATTTTAATTCTTCACTCTTTGAATGCTGCTTAAGTCTGAGTGTATCACCTGTCTGATTAATAGATGGAATGGTAAGGTGGGATTTTAGAATGTAATAAAAAAGTTTTAATAATTTTGTTTATATGCCAAGGATTATTTTGTTTAAGGTCTCATTCGTTCACATCATAAGTTAAAAAATTAAATGAACTCACCTGACATAAAATAGTTTTGTGTAGATACACAGTAATTGATATCAAATTTTTGGAGAAACTTGTCCTAAATTACTCAAGTCACTCTTTGGATTCTACCTGCAAATTAAGAACTTTAATGTTTAGGAGAAACTGTGAAGTCTAGAAATAATTATCTCCAGGGATTGTCAATGAGAAACAAATTCTTTACCTCACAATATGTAAATTAGTTTTCTTCATTTTTTTATCATTTTTGCCCATGTGCAGAATGGATGACTTAACCTGCTGAATATTTAAACTGCATCTAACTCATTGAAACTGAGAGAAAGTGCTACTATCTGATAAATTGTGATTTCTTCCATCATTCTTACAGTCTTTTAATTCTGATCAACATATAGTTACCTGGTAACCAGAGAAGCTTTAAGTTTAAATTCCTGTTTTTCCTTGTTTCCATGTCAACCACTCTGTATACATTTTTTTATTTCTAACAAATGTAGAATTAGCAGATGGTGTATTTATTTATGCAGAAGATAGCTGAATGTATTTTATTTTGTTTAAGGAAAACGTATTTTGTCATAATAACTTAATCATGACAACACAAAAACACCTTTAAATATATGAAAAATAGTTCCTTAATGACAAAAGAAATCTTCAAACATTTAGGCTAGTTCTTCTAAATGACATCTTTTCATTTGGAACAAGGACAAAGATTCTCGCTAGTGAGAAATACAGTTTATTGCAACAGAAAGAAGTCAGAATTGGTGATAATAAGGAAGTTCACATAATTGAGTTTTTAAGATTTATTTCAAGGCCTTGTAAATGAATAAGAATGAAGAAGATTAATAGTGAATTTTAGTACTCTGAGTTATTTTTTTATCAATTTAGCCAACAATATATCAACTGAATCCTAATGGATAGCAAGCCCCGTGGATAGCAGGCCATGTAGCAAATGTAGATAATAGTATCATTTTAGAGATTATAATCTAAAACACAGGAATATTGGTAAAAATAAGAATGTTCAAATAAATTAAAAATTAAACCCTGGTAAGGAAAATGTTGACAAAGTTAAAAGTCTTTGTATGAAAGGACTTAATGTAGTAGCTGTTTTAATATGAGATGGACATAAACATTTTCTGTGAAAATACTGCAGAGTGCTAAAACTTGATTGAAAAGACAAGAATACCTAAGTTCATGGAGGAAGGAAAGGTTGTTAGGAATAAAGAAAAGGTCTACAACATCATTTCATTTGATAGACATGTTACTGGGAATGATCCGAAGCCTTGTTTTTAATTTTCCTTTTCTTGAGAGATTGATTTATGTAGGCAGTGAAAATTCAAGATGATGCCTACACATTAAGTGAGAGAGTTGTACCATTTTCCAAAACTTTAATGAAGAGACAATATTATAGAGGTTATAAATGTGATCAACCACTTATCTCTGACTTATGCTACTCAGGACCTTGTTTATCCCTTCCCCGCGAGTGTTGGCAAAGTCTGTAATTTGCCTCTTCCCAAGAGAATGCAACAAAAGTAATGAGATGTTATGTGCATGGTTAAGGTACTT